CAGGATATTAAATCAAGAATGGATTGTAAAAGTGTCGAGATCAAAAGGACCAAAAGCGAAAATATTTAGTTTCATGATTTTCTCAGCAGAGGGCAAAGGGACTGCATCAGTTTGTCTCCTTTGGCCGACAGGACCGGAATTTTATTGCCCAACCTATGTCCAACTTGGTTAAACATAGGACCGGAACGGGAAAACGCTCGTGTCCAACCAGGTTGGACATAAGACCGGAACGCGAAAACATCCATGTCCAACTAGGTTGGACAAAGGACCGGAAAGGGTTAATCATTCGGACGTGCTATTTTCAATTTTATGAACTTATTCCCCCGATTTTTTTTTGCTCTCGATCTGAAATGACGCAGATCGCGCAATTTTGTAAACTCGATTTCGTATCGGCAGAATTGTCGTCTGGTCGATATTGATTGCTTCGATCTTCTTCTGCTCCTGCGATTAATAGTAAATAATTGCAAAAAAAATTTTTTTAGCATTTTTTTGCATTGCGTTTTTTAGCGTGCAGTTTTAACAGATACGTGAAGTTCTGAATCAGAAGCCGTACAGTTCAAAACCGGGAAAGAATTACGCAATTAAAGAAAATTTTAACTTAATATTTGGTGGCAAATCTTAATTTTCTTCCCAAATGATCGTGCTCCATGCATGGAAGGGGGGGGGGGATGGGGCGCCGTACTAACCAGACCTACAGAGGGGTTATAATCATTTGTGCCATTCTGATTTTTTCTTGCGATATGCCCTGACCCGTCGAATGAAGAGGTTCATCAGATAATTGCACGAAGAAGTGTAAACTTCATGCATGATATCGGGGAAGTATTTGCGCGATCGTCATCGAAGCCAGGCCGATCAAAGAACTCAATGAATATAGGGCAATAATTTATTTTAAGTTCTCCAAACCACATGGAAGTCACCTCGAAACCACCTGTATCACTTTTACCCATTATAATCTTGTCAAATTTCATAATTATCGGAACTGCGTGATAATTCATTCCGCTTTTGAGAAGCAGATCGGCCTCTTTCTGGGGCCGGTCGCATCGCCAGTACGAATTCCAAGTTCCAAGCACCAATCATCAAGAACAGAGCGAAAAAAATACGTTATGCACACCAGAATTTGATAAGGACAGAGCCGACGGGCCGTGCAACACTTGAACGTCGAAAAATATATATCATGCTAAAAGAGCCAGGGCGATTTCTCGGTTCAGCCGAGACATCGCGAAACTCAAGTCCTGGAATTCCGCGGATCCGGGAAATCAATTGCCTGGTATTCCTGGGAATTCTGCTCTTCTCTCTGAAATATTGAAGCCAGAAAAACCGACCTTCCTGCCCTAGAGAAAAGACACAATTTCCGTTCATGACTGAGCAGCCGGAAGGATGACTCCATCGAAACCTTGCGAACTGGCTGGCCTTTCTCGTTGCCGCAGGTGACAACGAGAAAGGCCAGTCGGTTGATGTTGCGACAGGCGAGTGCAACATGAAGGGCGACTTGGAAGTCACCGCCATGGTTTCTTCCACGTTTCTTCCTCCTCGGCCTCCATTCAAGTGCGACTACGAAAGAAAGAGCCATGAGGCAACAAACGACTGAATATTGTTGAGGAATCAGTGATTCAGGGGAATCGCCCTCTTATAAGGAGAACCGCTGCGTAAATACTCGTCTTCAATGTTTTCACTATCCCGAAGGGAATGAGAGCTGGCCATAAAACCCAATGCTGGCCATGTCAACCAATACTGGCAAAATGCCAGTCAAGTTATACATTGGGGTAAGTCAAAGAAAACCAGCACGTTGAAAGAGTTTTGCCCTTTCGAGCGAAGAAATAGACGGAGAAACTTCGCCTGTGCAACGGCGATGTATTCATGAAAATGCATGCATGTTGAAAAAAATTAACATCATTCCTATGATTGGAAATGAAGCCTGAAAATTTCGCGGCAGTGAAACGATCATGGTGGGTGGATCACGTCTTATAGGTTCTGCGGAGAATCCGGGATATCAGTCCCGGATTAATTTGAGGTATACAATTAAATGAAGTTCACGGACAATCTCTACTTATTCAAGATCTCCTATGCGGATGAAATCAAATGCGTTCCAAAAGGGCTTTAAATAGGAATATGATCTTGTTTATGGCCTGAACTCCATGAATATGTCTTGAATATGTGGATAACAAATGATGAAGTGTCCGTGTTTATTGATACATTATGATGAGACTAGGCGAGACATATGCCAAGGTACTAAACAATCCTGCAAGGGACGTTTCCAGGGAAAGAGAGAAGGGAACTTTTGTGTCCTGTGCGAAAAGCGAGACCCATACCGCCATCTAGGGGCCTGGCGAAGAACTTCAAGATGTTCACTTCAATACGAGCGATGAGGGAGCATTTGGTGAGTAATAAAAGAGTAAATTCGAAAAGCTCACGGTGTGCTCACATTTTACTCCGCAACGGTCGGAATTTTCTAAGAGTGTAGGGATATGATTTATTTTCGGGAGGAAAGGAGAGGCGGCACTTCGGCTGAAAGTCCAAAATCCTGCCATTGTCCTGATACTGATCCTGAGATACGCAAAATTCCAAGGGAAAAGGATTGATTTAAGAACATTTCGAGGCGCGAAGAGAAAATTGCATCTGAGTTCAGTAGTACTGACAGACGAAGGGGAACGTCGAGAAGCAATGCCAGTCGTGCCACTTCTCTCCACTAAGAACGAGGCAATTCTCACTATGTCCTCCTTGCGGTTGACCCTGAACCCAATGATTATAGCTTGTGATCGGAGTGTTGTTCACCTGACGAAAACCTGGACGATTGGGACAGAATAAATATGGTGAGGGGGGCTTTGCAATGTTTCGCAAAATTTGATTCAAAATAGCCATTAAAACATTTTAGACAAGGAACGCAAACACGGAACGCACTAGCCTGAAATAATGAAAAATGGTTTGATAGGATAGAATGTGAAGAGAATAAGATTTTGCACTACAGTTTTTCCCAATTGCTAACGTCCTTTTCTCGAAACTATTTGAGCAAATCCCAAAACTCTACATACTTTCCACCAAACCTAACATCCGATTTCATTGCTAACGTCCGAAAAGCAAAAGGCGAAGCGCGATTTTCATATCTATCCGTACCTTTTTTGAAACTTAACGTGCGGTAAAGGATAAGAAGACAGATTTGATGAGTGCGGACGATGGATGCATGGCTGACGAGGGCAATCGCGATCTTCCAAAATTCATTCCAACCAATCCCAGAGGTTTCCTCTTCGCCCTGAGTTGTCAGAGCTGAAGGTTCCATCTCAAACGTTGAAATGATTTCTTACGTCGATACTGCAATGTAATTGACAGGCAATAATGCCGACTGCTTTTTAAAAAAATCCAAAATATCCGATCCTGCGTATTTTTTTTAACGATTAATTTCTGTCATAATAAAATCAGCTAAAAAGGTTTGAAAAGAGAAAATATAAAAAGTCATTTTATGGTCATTTCTGTTTGTCGTAACTTATAAAAATGACATGACCTAGGGACGTATTTTCGTTCGTAGATGTGTGTTCATTGCGAAACTCTCATGCTTTGATCTCCAAATCTTCCCAACTTATGCTCGCTCTTTTGGCTCGTTGTGGGGTCTTCGACCGGATACAACGCCCTGCACCCTTTTGAATGACGGCTCAAGTTAAGTGACTTCTCAATATAATAGTCTGACTTTATTTCGGTGTGAGAGGATAGTCATGGGCTCGCCCGACCGAAACCGTGATCTGTTGTGGAGCAGAACTTTCCAATTTCCGATTCAACGAAGGCGAGAGGGGAAGAATGGGAGGGGAGGGGGAAGAGTTTTTGCGCTTTTAAGCCGCACCTCGTCCAAATATCTCAAGCGAAATGATCTCAATGGGCGGTTTGATGGTTTTACAGGAATTAAGCTATGCAGGTTTGGTCACTGCTGAAACCCTCGCCGTATACACACCCACTCAATTACCGAGCTAAGGGGTTAAGTTAACAAGTAACTTAGTGTAAGTTGTCAGATTAGAAGTTGCGGACAAGAGGATAAATCCTCATTGCATGAACCGCAAAACTATAAAAATATTTTAGGCACAACAAATATCACTGAGAAACGACGTCAGTGTATTGTTACGAGCGTATCATCGGCAAGATATAGCGCCATCCATTATATATGAAATCGTCATACGGCGTAAGTGCCAAGCGTCCTTCACCGAAACATATTTTCCAATAGAACATATTCCTGGTGTCCTTTAGAACGAATCTAAGGCACTCGCGTCAAAACTATACGCCCTTGCCTCAAAAAGTAACGTGCGCTCCATTGTTTGACATTGAGGAGGTTCTGGTCGATTTCGCCCGGTACGGCTGATCAGGCGGGCATCAGTGGCGACTCGGCGTCTTCGCATTCACAGTAATGGATCGTCCTGAGAGTTTTGACGAAGTTGACTTAAGTTTTGATTCTATGCACGTTAGAAAATGATTGTCGGACGTTCTGTTTCGACTTTCGGGTAGCGCGAAATCGAATCTAGAAGTAGGGTTTGGGCATGGGTTCGTTAAGTTTTTAAACTCATTCTTCGAGAAATTGCAGATACGCATATTAGGGCATTGTACATTACTCTAGCTTGGCCTATAGATGCGAGAAGCTGACAGTTTTCTCGATCCCGTACGTCCAACAAGGACATCAATGGAAAAATTGAATCGGATCATGAACATACTTCAAATATTAAGCTCAAAAAAGGAGAAACCTGTCTGGACTCCAGAAGTCTTCGTGACAAGATAAAAAGTTTTATTCGATGTGAAACCTAATTATTTCTACCACTTCATCATAAATTGCGTTTATTGGGGCTTACAATTCGTTATCATTTCCATACTAGAAGCAGTGACATAAACGTGTACAGTAAGTTATATCTTCATGGTTGAGGAGAGTTGGAGTTTTCCCTCAGTTACACGTTATCGTCTTTTTATTTTATTTTTTTTAATAATGCATAAGCGATAAATCTATGACAAGAAGGAATGCTAAAGGTCCCGATCTATTCATTTTATCGCATGGCGTTGATTTGAGCGTAAAAAATGAGAGAAACCGGCTGAAAGGATTATTTCTGCTTCTGTTCCGGTCTACTAAGAAGATATTATATTCGAAATGCATATTGAGATTAGGGGAATCTTCAGAAAAACATTTTCACGGTCTCGTCTTTGCTAGTCGTAACAATAGATATTCCTAACCCCGTACGTTAGAATATTGAATAGAGTACTTTTGTTTTTACGCAATTTTAACTATCTGACGCAAGGATGTGAGAAAAGTGTGCCGAGGTTTTCCGAATCTTATGTGAGGTTTTGAAAAATGTCTATCGAGATATGAATTAGGGCTCTAGCAATTGGGAAAAAGTGTAATATTCCTAGTATGACATTTATTTCATACGGTATAGCACATGAATAAAAATGCGAGGAATTGCTGCATAGAGAAACAATAGTAATATGAAATTTGTCATGCTTTACTGCGTAACTGCCCTCTGTTAAATGATTAATAACCGCAGACTTAAAACAAAAATGGTACATTAACCGATTTAAAGCATTTTCTCAATGATGCAAACCAAATGTGATGGATTCAGACTCACTTGGGTCTTCATAGATCCACGTGCCCTCCGCGAGTTCGTCGGTGGCGCCTTGCAGGATATTCTCAGTGGTGTCGGGGGCTACACTTCTGATTGCATTGTAGACTGTGGGGCTCGTAGCGGAAGCGAGTCGGGCCCCATCCAGGCAACAGACCTGACTCGCCTGGGTCCTGTTCATTGGCCATGGGTAGCGCTTGTAAAACCGACCGTCTTCTTGAAAAAACTTGTAACCTTGTGCCAGAGGAACTGCGATGGAAGCAGGTATTTAAACATTGGTGTCTGAATGAAAAATGTCTCAAAATCGGGAAAACGACGCCTACCGCTTCCCGGACAAGGCGGCGTGACGTCTTGATTCAGGATTTTCCACACGTTGAAGCCAACGCATTTGGCCATGAGGGGCAGAGGAGGTGGACAACGGGAATGCCGCGGGCAGTCATACGAGACTTCGGAGAGCAAGGGCGCCGGGAGGCTACCATTCCATCCGAAAGAGAAATTCATCGTTCGATTCTCTATCGAAGGAGGAGGTGTCTGGCAAACACTGAATGCTACAAAGACCGAAGGGGAGAGGTAGAATCACATTTGGGAATCTGAAATATTAATATGAAGGATTGAAATGATGTAAACTCACCATTGACATAGACCAATGCACCAGGGGCATCTTGTAACGTGACGTTCGGAGTGTTCACGAGCTCGCAGATAAAGGTTCCAGGATACCAGTTGAAGGCATTGCAAATCGGTCGAAGGGAATGGCATATGTAACCGCAATCAACTGCATTCCTCGCCTTTACCACATCCTTCCCAGTTCCAGCCAGAGGCCACAGTTTCGCGTCTTGTTTCATCAGATGAAAAGTAGTTGATTGGGCATCTATGAGAGAAACAGTACCTTCCCCGGCAATATGTACACTAGTCTCCACCTGAAACTTCGGGTCTTTCTCCTCCAAATCCATTCTACACATAACAACGCCCAAGCGACTTTTCTTGGAATTGACCAAGTAATAGCCAGAGTGAGCGTTTCCAGCTTGGCGAAGAGTTGAACAGGATTGTGCTGGGTTGTCCTGGGGCGGAATCTTGCCTCTGCAAGTCAATCCACCCAATGTGTAATTCGCTTTCTGCCCCTCAAATTGTAGTCCACCGAAGCGCAACTCGGTTATGGGTAATGCTGTTGCATTCGTTATTGCTCCTGAGTCTGATTCCCAATGGGGGGGTTTTGCATCACAGTTGCAAGGGAAGTTTGTGTCTGTGCAGTTGCCAGAGAGACCGCAGTTGCATTTGTGCTCTCCTGCTTTTGACCCGTCCCAGTAATATTGTGGTTCGTCGTGACGGTCCACCCACCATGCATAGTGTATGACTCCAGTTGTGAGGGCCGAGGAAAAACAGTCATACTGAAACGAGACACGGTCAATGCTGAGTCAGAAACATCTACAACTATGCAAAGTTAGAAGTACTCTATAGTCACTATTCTGGTTTGCGGAATTTCTGTTGTGAATCCTAGGTGTCTGCAGTAACACAGGAGGATGTACTGGGAGGCAAATAATATATTTTTGAAATACTATAGAGGGGATGAAAAATAATGTATCAAGTCGTGCGATAGGAATCCCTGACCGATATAGCCGACAATTATTTTTGACAATTAAACTTCGCTCAAAGAAGAGCGCACTTGAATGCAGATGCTTGTTTCGGGATATGATCTTGAGCAATATTCGGGAGATGTGCATGTACTGGCAGCAACATTAAATACTAGTGAATTTTTCCCCCCTTCAGGGATGCAAACTTGCAACGGTCGGACCTTCATGGGGTTCCATTATCCAGGGTATCAATCAATCATTATTTCATTTTCGAAGTGGCCAAAGTTATTTTAATGTAGGTCTCTGTCGAAATACTGGGTTCATATTCATGTGACCTACTAACCGACTATTTCTGTTCATGTAACTTTCAACAAGTTCTTTAATTTTGAAATAAATAGAGTTAGATGTCTGGATTTGGTAGTTATACTCAATATAAAAAAACATGTTCAGTATGTCTTCCTCTGCGCAATCATCGGTGGTAAGGTTGTCTTGTATTTATACACCATTTATGTCTGGGAACCTGGAAAATTAGAAAAACATCACCTTTTATCTCTGCCTTCCCGTCTCTAATCGTGCATTGGCTTAACCTTGACTCGAAAACTTTCTCTTCTTGGTATCCCAAGAGAAAATTGTATCATGAATTGAGATCCTGACCTGGCAACACAGAGAAAGTTGTGTTGGACTTCCAGCTTCAGAACTCTGGCATGAGAATCCTGCATGCCAGATATCCTGAGATCCACAGCAGTGGGTTGGTATGACCACCATTTCCCTCAATCTCAATCAATGTGACTGTTACCTCAGGGGATTCCTGAAGGACAAAGTCTTTGAGTCGAGGTTAAATGCACGCACGTTTGAAGGCTTGAAGGCGGCTACAGTATGTAATGTCAACTGAATTTCCCGGAGTATTCTGCAGGCAGTTATGCAGAATTGCACCACACCCGTGCCACCGGTGATTAGGCAGTGAGAAGGACACACAAAACATGTTTTTTCTTTGAGCATAAATTTCCCATGTTTATGGATTCTTGATAAGGAATTTCATGCTTTCATAACTCTATTTGTTCCAACAGTATAAATATTCATAATGGGCCCATGAATAAAAATCAACCGTCCTATGTGCCATGAGGTGCCATACGCGCTATATTATATCAGATATGTTATCTTTTTATCTAAATCAAAATTCCGATATATTCATGGGTGCCATTCTTCCAATCTCTTCATGGGCCCTTTTGTCAGAGCAGAAAAGAAATATTGAAATACTTCCCTCTCATAATCTGCCCTGAGGCGATACATTTTATATGCACTTTTTTTCTGTACTCATCGATCGAATGGGTACCTCTATGCTAAGTTTGAAATCTCTTTCTTTCTCTGCCTCGTTGAATTAAATTTTTTTTTCTTAAAATGCACCTTTGCGCCTGTAAGATGGTTACGCATTCACTGCCACGCGGAATGCAGGCATCTTGTTGCTCTTGTTTTCGCAGGGCCACAAATTGGTCCTTTTAGTGGACATTCTTTTCTGAGAAGGAAAGGACCACTTAAGGTCCCGTTCTGTCCGATCCTGTGTCCGTATGTCACACATTGGTTGTATGACGATAACTAAAAAGGATATTGATCAGATTAATGCGAAAATTAGCAAACATGTGGATATATAAACACGATACCCGAAGGGCTCGTTTTCTGGCGAATTTTGCGGAAAATTGCCCTTTTTTTGCAGAACTTTGACCACGGAGGAGAGGGAACGAGTACCCGTTCGCCCTTCAGGTTCTTGACCACAATGCCTATGCGGTCGCGACCAAGGCATTAGGCGCGGAGTCGTGTCAGCGACGAAAGCAGTCACTGACAGTCTTTGCGGCCGATGTATATAACAAGACACAGCCCTCCCTCCTCCTTTCATCCTTTCATGGTCTCCGTTTGCCTATTTTTACCAAATATGAATGAGAAATGGGGTTTTGATAGTCGAAGATCGGAAGGAGATGGCATTTTCTTTCGACTCACCCTGATATACTGTTCGCAAGACTTCGAATGTTGGATCAATGCCACCATCTGTTTCATCGGTGAACCATACTTTATGCTGTGGTTGTAGCATCCAGGATCAGCACATCGATCGATCGCAGTGTTTCCCATGGAATCATGGAGGACAATTGTGGCCACAGGATCTATATAGCAGCATAGTTCAGAGATGATGAACCGGTTCATTACCATTAGTTTTTTTTCCGAATGAAGGAACGATTGTTTGTTTCAACGACCTGTCTCCATATCACAGATCACTTTGATGGGTGCTTCGCCGATCAAAACTCCGTCCGGATCCACGAGGTATTCTCCTGTTCGGGTCACTCCCAAGTCTGCTAGCGTCTGACAAGTTCGGGGAGCTGCGATAAAAGTATTCATATATTTCCGTCATCAGCTGGAAAAACAAAAGCACTTCAAAGCAAGGGCTTACGGAAAGAAGACGACACTTAAGAGCATTTCGTTCAGAAATTGCAGTTGGGTTAACGACAGCATACCATATCACCGCATAGAATATTCGATCGGCTGAAGTGCAACTGTCACCGTTTTCTGAGCTGTCCATTAAGTGTATTAGTCGTATTAAGGCGATGCTAGCGATCAAATGAGCGTCCTATAATAAGCAGCGCATAATAAAGTATTTTCTGTCAGAAGGTCAACTATTAGAGTTAGGACAGAATGCTCTTTCTATTCGAGAACGGTGTTACTTTAATAGCGAGACTTTGATTTATGGGCTTATACTGGCGAAGCAAATGAAAGTGAATATGACGTTAACACATTGAAAACGGGCCCCGTGTGTACATTGGTTTTTAGATCCATGTGTCAAGCACGGGACTGATGTCAACACGAATTTTGCTCGTGACAGAGAAATAAGCATCTTTGGACACGTGTTAGGGGGGTTGCGAATGTTTTGAACATATGCTTTTGATTAGAAACCATTTATTATGGAAGCTTTTAAATTTGAGAGAAATTCATGTAGCACTTCTGGAGTTATAGCCTTTTTAGTGCTATAGCACGTTTTGCAGTTCAATTTGCCAGGGAAAAAGGGCTATGGTAACACAATAGCGTCCGGTCCTCGATTTGTTGAAAGGCCAAGGGGATGAAGAACGCTCATGGAGGAGAACGTTGCACGACTTGGCCTGAAGCTCTAAAATGTGCCTCCCACGTTCTTGTGTCTCGATAGAACTCATTTCTGGCGAAGATTTCTCGTACCCAATGCAGGAGCGATTCTATTCGAAGTCATGTGTTGTGGAGCCTTCGTTATTCAGGGAATTTCAATACCGTAAGATGCCCATCGGTGAATGCTCCCAAGATCGTTACAACCATCTTCGAAGAAGAACTGCGCGAATTTTTGGAGACAGTCGCTGTCCAATAAACCTGACATTCTTAGAAGTGATTGGGCATGCTGTGGATAATAGAACAAACAATGCTATGGCATTAGCTCTGCAAAATATGTCATCATCATTTGATGCTTGTCGACTATATGATTAAAGGGGCTTCAAGTCTCCACTCACTTATTTGCAGGCTAATAGCCTCCAGATATTGGAGTCTTCCTTCCGTGGTGTTCAGTTGAAGCTGAAGTTTGTCGCTTTCCAAGAGATGTTCCTGGAAGCTAGACTTGAGGTTTTCGTGCTCTTTTCTCATGTTCTCGTAGTCATTTCCCAGCTTTCCATTAGCGAACCTCATGTTCTCAAAGTCATGCTTCAATATCTTGTAGTCGTCCCTGAGGCTGACCAGATCCTCATTTTCAGACTTCAGTTGTGAGATTTGCTTTGCAAGTTCTTGGGTTTTTGCCTTCAGAACTTGCACTATTTCTTCCAAGTTGCCTCCAATATTTTCCCGTCCATGGACGGGAATGCTTTCGAGTGCCTGGGAATTCAAAGCATGAAGAAATATATTTTTATCGCAAGAATGGCTTCGGGATAAAACCAATGAATAAATTATTATTTACTCTGAACTCGAAAATCACAATCCTCAGGAGCCAAAAACAGTTTTTTCACTACTCCAAAAGCATGAGAGCCGGAAATTACTCCAAACGTGTTTGAATTAAATATGACATTTTCCAATGTCTTCATTACAATTGTCCACCTTTCGTTTATTTCGAACGTCATTCATGCACTTCTTCACGGAAATCCAAAAGCGGGAGGCGTATATCACCATACTATTAAATGCAGGTAGGAGAGTTTGATAACTGATGAGATTCGACTTACTTTTCCAGATCGGCACTCGATTAAAAGGATCAGTGAAAACAAGAGACATGGAATTCCTCTCATATTGATTCACAACTTCCTCGACTTCTTTTCAGGCCTGGAATGAAAACGGTAGTTACACTGTTTCAGTATCGTTGCTTCTTGGTGTTGATGAATCGCTTCTTGGTGAATCGCAAACCTGGTTTGCGATTCTCTTTTGGTAAATGTTAGCGAACCACAATCCTGCACAGAAATGAAGCCGCCACATCGACCCTTGATACACACAAACACCAAATTCCTGTCGCAGAGACGATAGTATCAGTTACTCACAGGAAACTCTTGGCTGATTCTCGACGCTCGAGAGATGGAAGCATGTAGGGGACTGGAAGGTAGTCTGTAGTCGGAGTGATCTCAAGGAAAAGCTTCGATATTTATATCTTTGAACGGAAGAGGCACCCAGGGCAGCGTTCCATTAAACATGACATGACATACTTGTTAAAAATGACATACTGGTTGAAATTCGTGTACACGCGCCAAGGCGCAGCCCATGCGGAGTCTTGTTTATTGCTCATCGTATATTGAATTTGTCTTATTTGCTCTGTGTACGCGGGACGTTCAGCCTCGGTTCGTGGTACCTGAGAGGAATCGACATGAGTATATCTCAAACTCTCTTTTCGCTTTCTCTTATGATCATCGACGCGAGCTCATTTTCTGGTTGTTTCGATGTCGACGTTTTTGTGGCATGAGAGAACAAACGGAGCCCTGCGCAAATTGCAAGAAATTACAATTTAACCATTTCCACATTTTACCGGGGATACTTCATATACTGAAGGTATATGGTTGAAAGGAAAATTTTTTTTAACTCCAAAATAGAAAAGGAACTACAGCAATTTTGTATCTTAATTTTCATTGAAGAACATGAAACAATTTTAAAACTCCTAAAAAATTTGTTTATAAAATGTTTACAGTACTTCCAGTTCAAAACCTATCGGAACACGACATTCAGTGCATAGGTCCCAATCACTGCCTGTGTATCGGCTTAATCGGGGTCTAGGCACTAACTTCACATTGACGTTTTGCAAGTGCCACACTCTCGAAAAGGTTAAATACAACTGTCCATGGAACAATACAGGCTCATGATGGTACAAACCAATTCGATGGAATGTTTTGCCCTTGACATTTGTTGATAGTCATGGCTAAAGCAAGATGGAATGGAAACTGTCACCCTTTGATCCTGAGCGGCATCGTCGAGCCGTTCTAACCATTTAGGTTTCTGATGACCTTGGCGATTATACCGCGCTTTAAAGTGAGGGGAGATGATAGATTCATGGGGAGGAAGTCCAGCTGGAGTGAGGTTGTCGATGAACTCCTTTGGATAAACTAATGTATATAGACTATGGTGACTGACTGACGCTAATTCTAACCATGTTCCAGAAAGGTTAAACATCTTAAACTTGGTACACTTGTACCTTTTGGGGTGCAGAGTTCAGAAAAAATCCGACATTTGAGGTACCTGCCCTGGGGGTACACATTTAGTGGGGAGAATTTAAAAAAATATATATATCGTGATGGATAAGGCTGTCATCGAAAGATGCTAATGTATGTCACCATTTCGGGGGTGTAGTGGTAGCACATCGTACTGGTAATCGTGAGGCCAGAATTCAATTCCTGGCCGTTCTATGCCATTGTTTTGGCTTCCATGCCTTCCATGTCCCGTTGCTTGAATAAAAAGTAGGACATGGAAAGATGAAATTTGGCATGGGCGTGCCTACCGAGATGATGAGTTCAGGGAAAATGCAAAATTTCAGATCCATGCCCTTGGGGCATATTTTTGTTCGCCGACGTTTTCCAGATTTGTTTTTTTTTGTCCTTGCGTATTGAGCTAGTGTGGAAAGATGAATCTTGGTACATCACTACGTACTGGGATGCTGCAGAAAACTTCTGACTTTGAAAGTAAATGCACTGGGGGCACAAATTTCAAAAGGAGATTTTTTCAACTAATTTTTTTGCATCAGTTAAACTAATGAACATGGAAAGCTAAAACTTTGCATGAATGTGGCGACTGAGACAAGGAGTTAAAGGAAAATGTTAAGTTTCGATACATCCCTTAGGGGAATTTTTTCAAGGTTTTGAAAAAAAATTGTCGTAGCGAATTGGAAAGAAATGGAAAGGTGAAACTTAGCACACGTATAAGTGACATGATATTACTGAGCTGAAGGAGTATTCAGCTTTCATGGTGCATCCCCTTCGGGCATAGCGTTAGGGTGGGTCGGCTTTTCCAAACATGATTTTTCACCAGCGGAAAGGGCAAACGTATAATATTGAAATGGTGTGGGCATGTAGTTCACCGAGGATGGATTTCGATAATAAAAAAATTGTATGTTTCGGTTAAAACGGCTCAGACCACATATTTTGGAAAAGGCGTATTTTCACGAATTTTCTGATCCAGCAAAACAGAGGCCGCATGAAAGTTAAAAACTTGGCAAATATGTACCTGATGGATAGCTGCGTAAAGAAAAAAATCTACTTTTCTAATATATATAGACGATCGTGACTGACTGACGCTAATTCAAAAACAATTTTCGTTAAAATCCATCAGGGCACTTTTTTTCGGTCCCATTTTCCTGATTTTCTTTTTTTATCCATGGCAACAAAGGCAAAAAATGCAAACTTCCCTCAGAAGTACCTGTTTAGTGGCTGAGGACAGGAAAAATCCTACTTTTGAAATATGTCCCCTTAGCGTAGATTATAGGAATGAAATATTTCAAAATGTTTTCTCTACCCTTACAAAAAGAGACACAAGAAAAGATTTCAAGTTAGGCACACTAGAAATCCTAGAAGTAATGATTTTAACAAAAACCAAGACTTTCGTCCCATATGTCACGTATTTCAATGGGGACGTACTTTAAATGCATGCTTGCCATTTCGCAAAGAATAAATGAATTAATCACTATCCAAGGTTATGGACGAAAATGCGACCATAGCGATTTTGTTGGTAAGAAGGGCGAACAAACTCCCTAGTCTGCAAAAGTTCTGCTCCTAATTATCCAAGATCACACTCACGCCCCTATAATAGGTCTTCTCGTATGCTCCATTTTCCATATTTATTTCCAGTTTTTGTTGAACAGTGAATGAATGATTTAGTAACACAAAAAACCTGTAAACTCGAAAATAAAAGGGCACGTGTTTCTGAACAAGTTATGTTTTATCCTGGGTTGGGTACTGGAAAATGGGCCCGTGAAGGACTCTATCAGGGTAGCATAATGGTGTGAAAATTGATATCCCCTCGCTCATTCCGGGTCGAAGATATTTAAAATCTGATTGGTTCATGCACCCCTCTTGACCATAGGCTTACGAACGATGAATAATATGTCAAGATATCTATTTGCATCACATCCCAATGGGGCTTAGGATGTCGAGCGCTTTCGAATAATATATAACATTGGAATTATGGTCCAAAATTAACATGGAAAGTCATCAGAGTCATGAAGAAAATTAAAAAGTTCAGTAAGAAGGTCGTACCTAGGGACCTGATACAAGACGCAGGAGGTAGACAGATGAAAGCATCCCTTCTCCGGGAACGGATATCCTGAACACCAAACCCCTTCATGACCGATAATGTCCAAGGGCGAGACGCCCTGATAAATAATCTGGAACGGAAAACCTCATAGGCTCCATCCGGGAAGACCCTGGGAGAAACGGAGGAGTTGAAATACGTCGAATGAGAGGAAATAGATGGATAGGGAGAGCAGGAGAGAAGAGCAGGTTGTGGGGTGGGGCGGGGATCAAGTAGAAATTTACCTATGAGACGATTTTCATATGTCCCTGGAGTTGCGTCTTTTGCTCCTCCATTATTTTATTTCATTGTCCTTTTTCCTTTTTAAAATTTTGAATGTTAATATAAATGTGCGATTATTTTGAAATTCCGATGGTGGAATTTCTTTCCTCAAATTGCTGTACCGAACCCGCGATTACCTAACAACACCACAGTCGTGTGTTGACTAGGAATCGTTTCCTATTCAATACGTGGCACAAGTCATAGGTTAAGTCAGAAAAAAATCCAAAACGAGTTTGCACATCTACAAAGAAATTAGAAAGCGAATGGGCCAAATCGCTGATGAAAACTGCTTAATTAACTAGAAGGAGTACTAAAAGTGGTGCTTTGGTTTGGCATTTATTTTTGCGTTCATTATTTAATGGAATTTCGGGTGCCTTCATCAGCCTTGTTCTGGAATTTATTGGTGACTAGCTACTCAATTCCTTCATAGAAAATGTCCAGTCTCAGGATTTTGACCCTCTGCCGCACAGGCTTTTTCACTTCTCAGGACAGTATATGGGAGTGTCCAAAACGTACCGCCGAAAAAGCGTTTGGAATCAATCGACCCATTTGGAGTTGAGCATTTTATGGCAGAAAGAATATTACGTCCGACTACGACCAAAGAGACACAAAGCGAGAAACAGGCCTCTCGCGCCCGTTGGGGACGAAACCTCAGGACGGACGACTTGGGGAGGCAGACGGGGCGGCATGACCGGATGTCTCCTCACCCACCCCAAAACGCAATAATAGGAAAAACTTCATCCATGAGAAGACGGCGGTGCTGTATGGGCCTTCCCTTATGACACCGCGGACTTCATCAAAACCCGGGGAAATTCTTAGGCTTTAAAACCCTTCCTATCAAATATCTTTTATTATTTCAAGCTATTGCATCCCCTGTTTGGGTTCCCAGTCGAAAATGTCTTAATTGCTAATTTCCATAAAATTATGCGAAACGTCACAAATTCCCCACAATATTCATTCTTTTCTCATCGCCTAGGCTTCCTACAGGTGAACAGCACGCCAATCACACCCTATATATATCTAGTGGGGAACGAACTCCAGCCTCCCGGTGGGCCAGCAGACAGCACCGAACAGAGGACGAAACAAGAATTGCCCCATTCTCTTAGGAGTTTACTGGTTCGACATTCAATGCGCAATGAGGCTTACATTCCTCTGCCAGTATCATTGAGCTCGGACTGAGGATTCTCCTCTCCCATCGATATTTTCTAATAATCGAAACTTTTTTCTTGACATTTTTTGCCCGTCTCGCGAGCGGAATGGCAAGATTTGGGACTTTCTTTCCAGGTCCAGTCTCCCATCATCTCATGAAAATACATTCATCCTCTCGCATCGATTTTCTCCCCATGCTTCTTCAAGGTTCAAGTAATGTAAGTGATGTACACGCCGGACTTGCGAGACTCTCCTTTTGGCTTGGCTGTTGCACGTGCACACTGACTTCATCGGAGGCGAAATCTAATAATCGAAGAAGGGTCATTAGATGCATTGTTCGAGATAAACTTAGTTATTGGTTCGTTGTTTTTGGTGCATGAGTTTTTAATTTCGAGTTCGAATTCTGAGAATTATTTAAGTACCATTAATGGACCATGACGAAATCTGCTTTACCTGCAGTGATTGGCATTCGCTATTTTCTTCTCACCAATGATTCCGCCAATTTCTATTTTCCTGAATAAATTCTCTACTCTGTCATTATAAATGGGCAACCAATGACGGAAGCAAACAAGAATCGACTTTGCTTCCATTTCGGAAGGTTTTAAGATTTGAATTGTGACGATTTCTTGATTTTTCTATTTCTCTGGGAATGAAGAGATAAAAAAAAGAATTGAACATATCACAAATCTGCGTTCTTAAAGTTGGAAGATGAATAAACAAACAAATAAAACATGAATCATCATTAAAAATTTAACGTTGTCAGCGAAAACGGATAAATATCCCAGTTGGAAAATTGTCTGGAATCCAGAATCGCATGAAATATTTCACAACAGATTGAAGAAAGGTCGAAGAAACTCTGTGATTCAGGAAGATCCACGACCAACAATCCGATTTCGAATTTCGCGGCGCCACCGGTGGCTCGATGAGATGAAGAACGTGGGAAACTCCGGTGAATCGAGGGCAATTCCGGGGGAATTGGTTTCGATGAGAATTAACATCGCCGCGGGCATTGAGTGAAAGGAGAAATCGAGGGAAATCTGCACGAACGACAAATTTGCACGGATGGGAATCTGGACGAAACGCATTTCGCCCATTCATTCTCCGACTTGGCGCAGCGCTTCCGCACGAGATTCGGTAGTTTCCCAGCGGCTTCCACCTAGTCAATTTCCATGCTCCTTTTTTTTTACCCTGTTTAACCCTGTAATTGTCGTTCTGGGTCGAATGGAATAACCAACTTGCTTGTGCTGGCTGACCAGTGAATTTGAATCTGACACTTCTTATATTTACATGGAGACTTTCATAGTATTAATACTTCCTTTAGGCGATGAGTTGCACAGAAAGCTTTTTGCTAAGTGTAGAAAATATTTGTGCATGCATGAGACGTACAGTATTATCATTAGACGGAAACAACCAAGATCTTATGTTTCTATATTAAGAAAAAACATTTTTTTAGGGAAAGAATAGACATTTGAATTGGGAAATAAATCCCATAAATTATCACAAATATTTCCTTAGCAAATAAAATACATTCTCGCAAACCAGATTTGCGATTCTCTTTTGGTAAATGTTAACGAACCACGATCCTTCACAGAAATGAAGCCGCCACATCGACCCTTGAGACACACAAACACCAAATTCCTGTCGCAGAGACGATATTATCAGTTACTCACAGGAAACCCTTGGCTGATTCTCGACGCTCGCGTGATGGAAGCATGTAGGGGACTGGAAGGCTGTCTGTAGTCGGAGTGATCTCAAGGAAAAGCCTTGATATTTATATCTTTGAACGGAACAGGCACCCAGGCCAGCATTCCATTAAACATGACATGACATACTTGTTAAAAATGACATACTTATTGAAAGACCGTGTACACGCGCCAAGGCGCAGCCCATGCGGAGTCTTGTTTACTGCTAATCGTATATTGAATTTGTCTTATTTGCTCTGTGTACGCGAGACGTTCAGCCTCGGTTCGTGGTACCTGAGAGGAATCGACATGAGTATATCTCAAACTCTCTTTTCGTTTTCTCTTATGATCATCGACGCGAGCTCATTTTCTGGTTGTTTCGATGTCGACGTTTTTGTGGCATGATGAGAGAACAAACGGAGCCCCGCGCAAATTGCAAGAAATTACGATTTAGCAATTTCCAGATTTTACCGGAGATACTCCATATGCTGAAGGTATATTTTTGAAAGGAACATTTTTTTGAACTCCACAATAGAAAAGGAGCTACAACAATTGTGTATCTTAATTTTGAATGGGGGACCTGATACAAGACGCAGGAGGTAGACAGATGAAAGCATCCCTTCTCCGGGAACGGATATCCTGACCACCAAACCCCTTCATGACCGATAATGTCCAAGGGCGAGACGCCCTGATAAATAATCTGGAACGGAAAACCTCTTAGGCTCCATCCGGGAAGACCCTGGGAGAAACGGAGGAGTTGAAATACGTCGAATGAGAGGAAATGGAGGGATAGGGAGAGCAGGAGAGAGGAGCAGGTTGTGGGGTGGGGCGGGGATCAAGTAGAGATTTGCCTATGAGACGATTTTCATATGTCCCTGGAGTTGCGTCTTTTGCTCCTCCATTATTTTATTTCATTATCCTTTTTCCTTTTAAAAATTTTGAATGTTAATATAAATGTGTGATTATTTTGAAATTCCGATGGTGGAATTTCTTTCCTCAAATTGCTGTACCGAACCCGCGATTACCTAATAACGCCACAGTCGTGTGTTGACTAGGGATCGTTTCCTATTCAATACGTGGCACATGTCATAGGTCAAGTTAGAAAAAAAATCAAAAACGAGTTTGCACATCTACAAAGATATTAGAAAGTGAATGGAGTACATCGCTGATGAAAACTGCTTAATAAACTAGAAGGAGTACTAAAAGTGGTGCTTTGGTTTGGCATTTATTTTTGCGTTCATTATGTAATGGAATTTCGGGTGCCTTCATCAGCCTTGTTCTGGAATTTATTGGTGGCTATCTACTCAATTCCTTCATAGAAAATGTCCAGTCTCAGGATTTTGACCCTCTGCCGCACAGGCTTTTTCACTTCTCAGGACAGTATATGGGAGTGTCCAAAACGTACTGCCGAAAAAGCGTTTGGAATCAATCGA